TCTTAATTGCAGAGCGAGTTTTAGCTGTCGTAGTTTGTAGATTTCTTTTATTTCGCCAATTGTCGGAAGATGGCAAACTTTCTAAATAACAAATTCCTGTTTAATAGAAGTCTAACGAAGTATTTATTTTGGCCTAGGAAATACTCGCACTTCCCAAGGGAAATTTGTATACTAATATATTTTCTGTATGTTATTAAAACCTATTGTAGCTTTGCTCCATATTTTCAACACTTTGTGCTCAATTCGTTTAAAATCAGTGCCTTCTTCACCTTAATTAAAACTTAACTTTCTTTCAATAGAAAGTTAGGAAAAATAGACGTCTTGATATAGGTCCGTTTACTAAACGTTTGAAATGCCCTTATTTAAGTTATTCCTTAGAATAAAGAATTTTGCACATGTAAACAGAACTAGCTTATTTTAAATTCTTTTGTTCCTGAGCTCTAGGACAGCTGAAACTACCTCATAAGATGGAAACGAACTAATTAACTTTTCCTGCTCACAGATAAAGTCACAGAATATGTCATGTAATGGTTAATTACAAGCCGTTGTAATGAATAGAGGCTTCTGAGAATAGTCCAGACTCGTACACATCTGTTGTAGCCTCCGAACGATATTTTAAAAATTCCTGAGCTAGCTTGGTCTGATTCCTTGTACAAGACAGTTCTAAAATCCGTTTGGTGACAGCAAGGAATAAATACTAAAGAGACTTTTTGGACACTGGCTATGATAATAACTTTAAAATGTTTAAAATAGCAAAAATTGAATCTTCGTCGGTTTGGGATGACGGGAAGAGTTCCTATTATGATTTTCATCAGAATTGGCGTTATAATCGTTTAGGTGACTGGAACAGGAACAGTGAAGGAACAATTGTCTGATCGATTTATTACATGCAAAGGTTTCACGAACATCAACTCTCTGTAAAGAGCCCGACATGACAAGACTAGTGTTACAGTAGTTTCCGTTGATATTTTTTCGGTGATTTTTTGTATCCTTACCCAGTCCCTCTCAAACCTGCCTGAGGTGGTAGAAGACTCGCACGAAATTCATCCTAGCAAAATCTAACTCATCTAGCGTTGAGTTTTATGTTAAGCTTCCCAGAGATCGATGAGTAGTAATGCCTATTTTGTTTTTTTCTTGCATTTTTACCCTGTCAAGGTTGATCGAAGCGCTGGAAGCACTGTAACAGTAATAAAAATATTCAAGTTCACAACCACTGCTCGTTTCGTTCGGTTCGTCCTTCCTCCTTTTCAGAATCCTGGAGGAGAACAACCTGTTTATAAGGTAGAGTTGTATGGCTGCCCAGACGAAGGGAAAACAAATGGTAAAGGCAAAAAAGGTAAAGACAATAGAAAGGAATACACTAGAACTGAAAAGCAAAAGGCTTACATAGATCTAAGTCTTGTATCGCCTTCACTCGTCCCGCTTTCTCAGTAACACTCATTAAGTCGGGTCTGTTTCCGTAATCTCGTCCAACTTTTTGAACAACTATGCCTGAGAAATGTTCTGACGAGAAGTGAAAATTTAATGGGCGAATCGTTCTCAAAGAAATTCTTAACAGCTTAAGACGTTGCTTTAATCTGAAAATAGTCCAACGGATTACGCGCCTTCCTTTGAAGTGTTAAATTAAAATTGGTCTCACATTAAGCATCCAACCTAAGATTGACATAACAACGGCTCATCTCTACAACAACAAAAACAAGCAAATTGGAACATTCTCTTCTAGCCTGGATTTTAGCCTTACTGTTTTGGAACTTCTCTAGATATTGAGTAGTCGAGCGGAAAGGCTTCAATCAAAACAAAAACACTGCATAGACATTCTTCATTCTTCTTTGATTAAGTTATTACCTTACTATTTAGTACTCCACCCGGCCGGAAGACTGCTAGTTCTAGAAGAGATCAGAATTTTTTACGAAATTAAAAATAAAAACAACCAGAGCTTTTTTATAATTTGGTGTGTGGTTTTCATCGCAGTTTCAGTGCCCGTGGGAGTAGGAATGGAATCAGGTATCATAACTGATAACCAGCTCACCTCGTCCTCAAACCAAGGCCCTGAATATGGAGCCCAGTACTCCAGGTTGAATTTACGGTTAGGGGCAGGAGCGTGGTGCGCGGCATCATGTGACTCATCTGAGTTTTTACAAATTGACCTTGGTCAAGTCTATCTTATATATGAGGTAAATTGTAACGAATATTGAAATGGGAATTGAATCTGAGATAGTGTTCTTAGGTTTGCCTGACAGAATAAAAGGTGTGACGAGATTCCATGTTGTGTTTCTAAGCCAATTTTTGTAATGACCAGCAAGAGAAAAACAACATAAGGAAGCTAGCGGGTCTTGAAATGAGTGGCTGAGTTAGGAATAAAGTTACATCCCTTCAAGTAATTGACAATACCATTTTGTGATCTTTTACATGAAGTTGGAAGTACAGAGCAAACATGACGATTCAGGAGACACAAACTCTGTGTTGTCATTCTACTTTGAGTACAGCGCTGATGGAGCATTATGGGAACACTACACAGCTAATGGAGCAAACAAGGTACCGAGTTAAAAATATCTCGTGCGCATTCCCCATAAGACATCTGTCCTTTCCTGCGACAGCTACTTGACCATTTACACATTTAAAGTAGATGACCGCTAACAAGTATCATCCTCAAGTTATCAAGGATCACATTTTACTTCTGTAAAAAGATTTTCATTCGTTTATCTATTTACTAACCAAAACAATTTATCTCTTGTAGATCCTGAAAGTCCAGTTATTTTCGCACGAAGTTTTCTGCTGGAAGAATCTACCAATACGATGTTTGCTTGTAAAACAGAAGTTAAAAAGTAGGAAACCGTTATGCTTAATCACACGACTCGTAATTGTTTCTTTTGATACATTTATAGTATAGTAATTAATTTATTTGGAATTTATTCACCTGTAGTAATTACCAAACGTGGTGGATAAACTATGAGCGTTGCTGTCGTTTGGAAATAAATTCGAATCATTTGCCATATGAATCTAGCTCCGAAAGATTCCAAACATTTCGAAACAGGGGCAAATGGTATGGAAATTTCCAGAAAATCCGGAAATTGTTGAATTTCCGAAAAGCGAACCATTGAACCGAAAATTCGGGAAATTCCGAGAGGAAAGTCAAAATCGAACCGAAGTTTACGGTAAGAAATTTCCAAAAATTTCGGTATACCTCGCAAGGTTGTCGTCTTTTTCGGAATTTCCGCAAAATGCCTTTCTACTTCTCACTGGAATTTCCGGAAATTCAAACCGAAATATTTCCTCCAATGGAAAGCGCCCATATTTAGTTATCGGTAGTTATTTTGCCTTAATCCATTAATTTAACAATCATTTTATATCAAGTGGAAAGACATCCAGAACTGTTTTTGTACGCACCATAAAATAAGTTAGGATATATGCTGTGATAATAATGTAACAACAATGTCAACAATTTCAAAAATTATGTGTATTTCTTGTTCAGATCTGAAAGTCATTGCAGAGGAAGCAACGACGGCGGTGAAACTTGGAAAGGTAAAAACTACATGTATATGTTAATAAAACGTGGCTCAATAACTTATCAGATTAAAGAAACAGTGGATCGAGGCTGACAGGTCTCACTATGAGTTGTATTCATTGTAACGGTTGATTTGAGAATGACAACGTTCTTTCGAGGAAAAGGCTTGTCGAATTTCTAGGTTGTAAGCGTAAGATAGCACTTTTCTCTTCTGGTGCGAGAAATTAAAACGTTGTTACTAAGTGACCTGGCGTCTCAATATAACGCCATGCCCGAGGTTTCAATTTTCTGTGTAACGCAACAGAGAATTACTACCTCGTTCCAAGTGAGGGAAAAGACTATGGGAGCCGGAGAGAAAATTAAAAATATAAAACTCTTTGATTTCTTTCAGGAAGAATATCATGTAAAAGAGGTGTTGTTTCCTAGTTTTTTTCACACTGAAGCAAACGTTAATAGTCTCTCAGATATCTCATCAATCCAACAGCTCAGCTTGAGAATTGTACAGTTCCTGTCTCCTGAGCGGGAGGGGAGAGGACATTTGCTACATGTGTAAATAATTATCAGGACGCCCAACAAAGGAACCTTTGTTAAAGCTTTCCTGTTTCATTCCTAGATCTGCATCAGAACGTTTTGATTGTCCTTGCCTATAACCCAATCGATAACGTTTACTACGGTATCTCCACCAACAAAAAGACGTTTCTGCGAAGCAAGTCTTTCCCGTTTTTTACTTGGAATGGAATCTCAAACAACATTTGGTTCAGAGTGAGGGGTTCTCCGTCATTAATTACAGCCACTGAAGTACCGTTCACTCCTGCGTTGCCGGGAAGTGTGCATGAACCATTTGCAGCCTTAACCCTGCCACCTTTTAGTGTTTCACTGAAGCGGCGACGACGATCTGTTGCGCATATTGATATTTGGGGATGTAATTATCTTACCGTTCTTTATTGCTTCTCATCGTGTAATATTCTACACTGGGTATCGTTATTCATGACATAGTAAAAACGTATGGGAAATCGCTCTGGCCTGGGACAAATAGACGAGTGCAGCTAGATTAAACCCGAGTTACTCGTTGGGTGGAAGGGTGGGTCGCAAACCTCTTCGCTTTCGCAGCTTCGAGTAGAGTGATGGGGTTTCTTTGAAACTGTCATTCGTATAATCCTCAGGGTATCAATTACCAATGGAATTTAAGTTTGCATACTTGCAGCAATGTTTGTAAAACTACATTGAACTATTTATCAACAGTTGAAATTAACCGCCATAGCGAGCTGGTAAAGGTGACGTTTCGAGTGTTAGCACTTCGTTTGAATCCTCCACGTACAGGAAAAAAAGATTGTGAACCGTACACAGCCCAGAAAGTACAAGGAAAACCATATTATTGCAATACTTGTCTCTGTGCTAACGACATGTGTATGTTAGGTTTGAAGACGTTAGAACATTTATGTACGTTTTTATGAGTGTTGTTAAAGTTTTCGCGCGCTAAGAATTATGGGTAAATGTACCAGTCGCTATCTATTTTTTTCCTGTACGTGGAGGATTCAAACGAAGTGCCAACACTCGAAACGTCACCTTTACCAGCTCGCTATGGCGGTTAATTTCAACTGTTGATAAATAGTTCAATGTAGTTTTACAAACATTGCTGCAAGTAACGGGGCAGGGGCAGGGGGAGGCAAAGCGCGGATGGAGGAAGGGCGCCTGCAACGCAGGCTAACTGACGAAAGGCTAACGCTCGCAACTTGAGCGACTTATTTACTTATTCACTTATTTATTTACTTCTTTCAACTTAGCTACGTGCTTCACTTGACCGCTGATGCAGCACAATGGCCGGCTTCTTTAGAAACTAGTAACTTTGCATATTTTTATTTTTTATTTATTTTTTTTTTGGAACTTTGCATATTGTTCAACGTAATTTTTGTCTGGGTATATTTTTTCCAGCTTCATCTCAAGGACTTCTTTTTAAACCAAGTGGCGCGATTGTTTGGAAGTTGGTTTATTCTTGGATCGATTATCCTTACGGTATGACACTGTGGTGTGGCTTCTACCATACTGCGGGAGGTGAAAAATAATCTGAGACGCTCGCTACCCAAAAGGGAATACTGTGATGCGTTTAAATAGGGTGCATTAATTCGGGTGGCATCGCGACCCGCCTAATAAAAGAAATTGCGCCACAAAACGATAAAGGCTAAAACGGATATGAAGAAATAAAAACAACAAGAATGCAATGAACCAGCTCAAGACAAAATTAAAACGTGGTACAAAATCAGAAGAAAAAAAACCCACTGTTCTGTGGTTATACTCAGAAATTCTTAATAAGCAGCTTCATATTTATCTTCTCCTAGTCCTTTCCCAAGGCTTCCATGTAATGTGGCCTATATACGATTCCTGAACAAGCTTTCTCTCCTGGTGTGCTTATTTTACCCAAATTTAATCAGTCGCAAATCCGAAAACATAATACTAATTATAGCGTGATGAGATATGATATCGAGCAAGGAATATAAAAAGCGTCGGTATTGTGATTGGCACCGCTTCGACTAGTTGATACAAAACAAACTGAGCCAAGGTCTTTTGTAGCTAACAACTGAGGTTTACACAAGCATTTGCGATTTGATCTTGCTCAGAGTAATTTAGCTGCAATATAATGCATGGGGTGCACTGCATGCCGAGTCCTCTAAGGGGTAATGTGGTCTTGCCCAAAACATTTAATACATCATTATATAAAGTAAAATATCACCAGAACTTCATACCATTCTCTCTGCGATAGATATCAAGGTTGGCTGCCTGGGAATGCCCTGTGAAAAAGGCACATGCTCAAAAATATCCGATGGGGGTTACAAGTGCAGTTGTTTTCCTGGATTCACAGGAAAGAATTGTAAACAAGGTCAGCGTATTGTAGACTTGAGCATTGTTGGATCAATAGCTTTGTTGAGTTATATAAGATTTTTTCGCAAAGTTACGTAAAAATGAAGTTTTCTGATGACGATGATTAAAATAAATCCATTTTGAAACAATTTTAAGGTGGCTCCCTATATAGTTTTACGATCGCACGCGCGTTTAGGACGAAAGCTCAAGTAATCTGCGCGCGCTCAAAGGAAAACGTCACTGTCTTTCGATATTTTATGACGTCAACATGAGCACAAAAAAGCAAANAGTTTTACGATCGCACGCGCGTTTAGGACGAAAGCTCAAGTAATCTGCGCGCGCTCAAAGGAAAACGTCACTGTCTTTCGATATTTTATGACGTCAACATGAGCACAAAAAAGCAAAACTGACAGTGAATTTTCCCGCGTTTCCTATATTTTACTTTAGTTGGAGCTCGTTTTTCAGCTAAATCTATCTGACCAGTTTTTCTGCAGCGGTAAAAGAAATAAATTTGCAAAAATCTAAAAAACTGCCACTACAAACCCTACTTTTTTCGTGTTTAAAATTTGTATCCCGCCGTATTCAATGTACTGTAAAAATTTTGGAAAATTTCACCGAAAGAAATTCAAGAAAATCACAAATAAAGCCATAAAAACGGTAAACAACGCATTTGTTTGGGCATTTATAAATCAACATCAAAAGCCAAGATTTGAAGAGAGCCCGAGTAAATCAGCATATCATCACTGCTTATTACATTTAGTAAGTTTGAGAGGACTGGGTGTAAACAAGAATGCAAAAACAGCATTCAAAACATAACACTTGCGCGCGCAACGTGATAAATGATTACCCTATGGAGCCACCTTAAGTACTAACAAAGTGTCTAAATTACATCATTAATCATAGAGAGTTTGGTAATACTACTCTTAAATCACAGTCCGTGAGGGTCCACCAGTGGATAATGACACATCATGATGTGTTGTAGAAGGGCTTTCATCCTGTGTCTGCTCTTCCTCTCCCCCAAAATAAAAAAAATTTCGGACTTTTAGTGGTCAGTGTAAGCTGTTTCGGTCCCTGGGCCTCATTCCGACGGAGGATTACAGCATAGACCATGTGAGGAATGTAGTTTGAGTGACAGGTTTCAATCACGTCTTACAGATATTGATGAATGTGCCAGCAACCCCTGCATCAATGGAGCTACCTGTGTGGATCAAGTGAACAGGTTCAACTGCACCTGTCCCCCCGGATTTACTGGAACCCTTTGTGGCATAGGTAAGTTATCTTTTCCATATAGTTTAGTTGACGGAATAATTTTATTTCATCTGATGTCAGTTAGAATTTTTCGACCCATTAGGTAGTCTTGACGTATCAATTAACATGGTGACCACGTAGGTCGAGGCAAAATAAAAGTGACGAGCGTAAGTGTACGGACACTTAAGACTAAAATCCTCTTATTGTACCTAAAATATAGGTTTAGCCAAGTCTAAAAGCGGAGTTCCCATAAAATTCTAATCATTTACTCGAAATTCACCAGTAAGTATTTCAGACCTATTCCAAATACTGTGCCCTTGCTCCATGGTAAATCAAACCTACACACTCCCTTCGATAATTCCCCTAATATCCTTTTATCTGGGTGCCCATAGTAACAGCATAATTTGGGAACGGTCTTGACCAAAAATCAGCAATTCCCGTTACAGTGCTGCTAGAATGTAGCACAACAAAAAAAAAAGCTGTCTAGGAACATTCTCCTGTTTTGGGTAACGAGACATTGATGAGTGCGCAAGCAGTCCATGTGTCAATGGAAATTACATCGATGGTATAAATCAGTACGTTTGCAACTGTCATCCGGGAAATGCAGGCGTCAACTGTGAACTTGGTAAGACAAGCTATTTACCTTTTTAGACCTTATTTTATCGCTAAGGGGAATAAAAACTGGTGAGAATTTGCCTGTACAGCTGAGCCCCGCTTTATGGGCACATCTCTAATACGGACATCTTGTTATAAACGCTAAGACGGAGAGTGGTTTCGGTTACTTCTTAGCTCACACAACTTGCCCGCTCATGCGCACACCTCATTGGTAAATAAACCATAGGCGGGCCGTGACTGTATCTCAGTTTGACAAAATTTTAAAGTTCCAATCTGTTAATCATCCATCTGCTTTGCTTTGCGTCGTAACTCTAGGAGAAATTTTGTGCCCTTTTGCCTTTGTTTGTAGAAAATTCTGCCTCCCCCTTAACTCGCCCTCCTCCTCCTCTATTTGTTGTCGAGGCAAGGTGTAATTTATAGTATTCGTTTCCGTAACTACTGAAAACCATTGAAGGGGTGGTTACTCCCTCCAGCTTTTTGCTGGAGCTCCGTTTGGTTACCAGTTCCGAGACCGGGCTATCCGGGGTGCACAAGAGGCAATTAAGCAATGTAGCACTAGCATATTGCCCAGAAAGCCTTACGATCTGTGAGCGGGCCCACAGCTCCCCAGTTAAGTATCATCACCCCTTCCACCCCAAAACTTTAAGTAATAAATCCAAATAATATATCAGGCTCTGTTGCCGTTTTAGCTCCATTCTACATTTACCAAAATATTCTTTAGGCTGACAGTAAATTTAATTGGTTTACCTTATCTACGGCAACGGTGAATGCCACGCCTTCTTTAATTAGCGGGATATCATTCCCATCTTGGGAATTATCGCCTTTGCAAGTTACAATCGGACTGGGATATAAATAAGATTACTGACAGCTGCTATTCATGTTTGACAGATCTTGATGAATGCGAAAGCAACCCATGCAGCAATGGAGGTGTATGTGTGAATGGAGTGAACAAATTCACATGTAATTGTATACCTGGATTCACCGGACTCCAGTGCGAAACAAGTAAGTTATAAATGAACTTATTATTACACTGATACGCCACGTTACCATATTAGGTCATGAGCTCGTATTACATTGCAGAGTCGTATATGTTTTTCTGTTATTCGCTCGCGCCTCACGCGATGAGTACGATTTTAGGATGATGCGGGATGTAATTCACATATTAGAAGCCGAAAAACTAAAAATGACAGCAGTGGATTAATAAACTCCTTATTGGATGGCTTTAACATATGATACGCGAGGACACTTTGCTCATTGCTTGTAAAATATCCGCGCGTTGAATAATCGAATAAGGTGTAGCTACTAGGCAAATAATAGTTATCTATAGAGAAACTGATGTTAGAGTAAAAATACTGGGTGGAGGTAATTTGCTGTCTGCTTATGTTGCGGTTCAAAAAGTACTTGTTATTTGACCAAATTACGTTTTCTCTAAACCTAGCTAAAGTTACTCCCTTTTTTCATAACCTGACTGGCAGTAAGTGACCTGAGGCAGCCAATATTACGAACTGCCTTGCACAAATTAAGTACAAGATCTTGGTTCTTTTTTCAACAAGATATTGACGATTGTGTAAGTAACGCGTGTGTCAATGGAGATTGTGTGGACGGCGTGAATCAGTACACATGCAGCTGTTATTCTGGAAACGCAGGTGTACACTGTGAGTTTGGTGAGTAAGTATTCTTCAAGGTTAATAAAGCAGTGGTGAGTATCACCTCTGTAGGAAGCTATATCTATTAATATTCACTAGATACTGAAAAACTGACCAGCAAGCTCGGAGGGCAGTTGCAAAGAAGCCAATACCAAATATTTTGGACTGCAATCTTCTAAGAATTGCTTTGCAAATCACATTCCAAGAAATCGTTTTTGAATCTGCCTTCATCTTTCCGAGATTTCGGTTTATTCTCCACCCCTTTATTAGAGCTAAAAAAAGTTAGAAGCCTGTAGTTGCTGTCGCTCTTAATTTTGAATTAGAGGCACGTAAGTGCAAGTCGACGGTTCCTTTCGACAGCAGCGTTTTTGCCCAGTGCTGCTCCACGACTCTATCTACGAAACTTTTGACAATCTATTTTTTTGTTGTTTTTCTTCAAGATTTATCCTGTGTGACCAGTAATCCATGTTTGAACGGTGGAACCTGTATCCCTTTATCTGGAGGAGGATACACCTGTAGCTGCACGTTTTTTTATTCTGGTTCAAACTGTCAGTTAGGTAAGTTATGTTACTGGAGGCGTGGTGGCCTCATGATTAGTGCGCTCGACCCCGGATAGAGCGGTCTCGGTTGAAGCTCTGGCCGGGGACATTGCGCTGTGTTCTTGACAAGATGAGACGCTTTACTCTCACAGTATCCCTCTCCACTCAGGTGTCAAAAGGAGTACCAGCGAATTTAATACTGGAGGTAACCCTGAGATGGACTAGCATCTGATTCAGGGGGAGTAGAAATATTCCAAGTCGCTTCACGCTACAGAAATCAGGAGAAATGCAGACTTTACCTGTTACCTTTATCATGTTAGTGACGCAGCTTTCTTTTCACTTAACACACCAAATTAGCAATACATTCACTACTACTGTATCCCTTGATTCACCTTCAAATGAAGTGACAATACTGCGGTCACCTTACCTCCTGGCGGGTTTACTGTTTCGCAAGAGAGCTTCGGGGTTCGCGATTCACTGCCGAAAATTACATGCTGCATCGTTAATAATAAATTGCCCAAGTTTTGAAATTTTAACTGTTTGCTTCTTTGTTTTTTATCTAAGTTTTTTTTTTGGCAGGATCATTCTTCTGTCTAAGGCTTCCCACGTTCTCTTTCGACCCACCTTACTCGCCAAACACCGGCAAATTCGACAAGATCGCTTTTTCGCTAAGCGCGAACCACAAACTCTTGGGAATTGCTGTTGGTTCCACCGCACAACAAGGCATTCCTGTAACTTTGACCATCAAAGTCAGCAACATCTCGGGTGTTGCCATCGCCTCTAAAACTACGCAGCATACTTTTCGTCACGGAATACCCGACTACCCCGTTTATTTCGACCAACCGATACTTCTGACCGCCGGCCAGCAGTACATTGCAGCTTCCCTGGTCGAGGCCGAAGCCAATATGTCTGAATTGGCAAGAAGCTTTGACGGCTCTGCAATCAGATTTTGTAATCCTCACCTGACAGTTACGTTCTCGAATGTTCCAGCAGAGGAGATGGCTGACTCTAACGGATCAACAGTCCAAGAGGGCCAAATAATTTTTCTGTATTTTAAGCCACCATAAATATTTCTTTCATTGTTGAAGCTATGCCAAAGTTTGAGAAAAGGCACAGAGTTTGATGATTTGAAGAGCAGTCTTCAATTAGTGTCGAAAATAATCCGGAAGTGCTTCCACCAGTGTCTTCAACTAATGAGATGCAAAATCAGTCACATTTTCCGCTGTATGGACCTTGCACGCGCTTAGCGCCGGTTACGTGTATCACTATCTGCTTCAAATTTTCATTGGTTCGTTGTGTTGTTTATGTTTGTTGTGATTATCAACTGTAATGAACTGCTTTCTTCCAAAGATGCTCAATTGACGATTGCTCTAAGATATTATTGAAGTTACACAAGTTTGAAATAGACGAGCAGTTTTAAACGTTTAAATTAATTTTCTATCTGGCCTTAACATTCTTACCATAAGCAGTTACAGACATTATAGTTGCGCCTTTTCTGTCCGTTTTTCATGAATATTTGTAAGTCTCTTATATTAGATTTCAAATCATTTGGTTCTTAACGGTATCAGTGGCCTGAAATAGCGGGAGTTGGTTCACGTAGCTAGATTGGCACACATGGTGATTCAGCGCCTTTCGTGATGGCCGCACCAAGATCAGTTTATTTGTCCCACAGGCAGTTTGTGCAATTTTCCGATTAAACAGCCCCTACATATATGGGCATCTTCCAATAGCTATCTCGCGATTGAAATCACTCCCGTTTTGCGGGAATGGTTTTAGCTGAACTTACCGTAAACATTAGCAATAATAAGGCACATTGAGAACAGTTTTGCCCTTTTTAATGTATAATAATAACAATTTAATAGCGTAGGCGGCTATTGTTTGAAATATAGGTAGAAAACGCATAGATACCGAATATAGTTTAGAAGAGCTTGGCAATTGAAAGATGTAAAAACCCAAATTTAAAGAAAAAAGGATCAAGAAGTATTATAAAATTACTTTCCAAAGATCCCTGGAAAGGACACATTACATGCCCAATTATCTAACGTGATATGTTATTAGGTAATTGAAGCTAACTAATTGTAATTCGTTATATAATCGTTACTCTATAATTTTAATCTCCGGTCTTAACGAACGGAATTATTTCTAAATACCAAAAAGGAAATACATCAAATCTCTTTTAGCTTTAGATTGTAAACAATNAATTTTCTACCTGGCCTTAGCATTCTTACCATAAGCAGTTACAGGCATTATAGTTGCGCCTTTTCTGTCCGTTTTTCATGAATATTTGGAAGTCTCTTATATTAGATTTCAAATCATTTGGTTCTTAACGGTATGGCCTGAAGTAGCGGGAGTTGGTTCACGCGTAGCTAGATTGGCACACATGGTGATTCAGCGTCTTTCGTGATGGCCGCACCAAGATCAGTTTATTTGTACCACAGACAATTTGTGCAATTTTCCGATTAAACCGGCCCCTACATATATAGGCATCTTCCAATAGCTATCTCGCGATTGAAATCACTCCCGTTTTGCAGGAATGGTTTTAGCTGAACTTACCGTGAACATTAGCACTAATAAGGCACACTGAGACCAGTTTTGCCCTTTTTAATGTGTAATAATAACAATTTAAGAGCGTAGGCGGCTATTATTTGAGATATAGGTAGAAAACGCATAGATACCGAATATAGTTTAGAAGAGCTTGGCAATTGAAAGACGTAAAAACCCAAATTTAAAGAAAAAAGGATCAAGAAGTATTATAAAATTACTTTCGAATGATCCCTGGAAAGGACACAGTACATGCCCAATTAGCTAACGTGATATGTTATCAAGTAATTGAAGCTAACTAATCGTAATTCGTTATATAATCGTTACTCTATAATTTTAATCTCCGGTCTTAACGAACGGAATTATTTCTAAATACCAAAAAGGGAATACATCAAATCTCTTTTAGCTTTAGATTGTAAACAATTTGTAAACAATTTGGAAATATCGTTGATTGTACAGAGCACAATATTATAGACTGTCTTACTCAAAGTATACAAAGGATGGGGCTCAAATGCTAATGGTGTGAGAGATGGCCACGTGATTTACCGAGAGTTTGATTTTCCGAGGAAATAACGAAGGGTGAAAACCAGTGTGGAGTATTGAAATCATGTACAATTACAACCAGCTCGTCCTATAGCTTTCTCAGCTTTCGAATTTCCCTGCAATCAAACCATGAGCTCACTGAAACCGGCTGTATCAGCAGCTCAAACTAAATATAAGGCAGCTGTGACTAGAGGGTAGTCCAAGTAAACGTTTTTGTGGCTTCCCAAAAGCGGTGTAAGGCAGGCACGGCGCATTCAGTGATGTCACTGATCTTGTTCCAGCGATAATCTTGTATTATACCTTGTATATATCTTAATATTGTATATCTGAGCGATTTCGCAAAGACATGCCCGCTAGGTTTTCGCTTGCTAAGCTAGCAACCTTAAACCCAGGGGGGGTTCTGTTAAGGCCAGGCCGGGCACATGGCCCAGGTACTGGCCTATCTGCTGGTGGTTTGCTGGCGGCCAGCTGTCAAAAGCAGGAGGGAGGCGATGGTGTCTTGTACTGACACCCCCAGCTAGCTAGACTTTGAGTTTTCAGCGTTAAATAACCTTGATGTTGACTGTGTTTCTGGGTATTTTATGTAGTTGTTTAAGCTTGTTTGAGACTTCTGNACAATTACAACCAGCTCGTCCTATAGCTTTCTCAGCTTTCGAATTTCCCTGCAATCAAACCATGAGCTCAAACCGGCTGTATCGGCAGCTCAAACTAAACATAAGGCAACTGTGACTAGAGCGTAGTCCAAGTAAACGTTTTTGTGGCTTCCCAAAAGCGGTGTAATGCAGGCACGGCGCATTCAGTGATGTCACTGATCTTGTTCCAGCGATAATCTTGTATTATATCTTGTATATATCTTAATATTGTATATCTGAGCGATTTCGCAAAGACATGCCCGCTAGGTTTTCACTTGCTAAGCTAGCGACCTTAAACCCAGGGGGGACTCTGTTAAGGCCAGGCCGGGCACATGGCCCAGGTACTGGCCTATCTGTTGGTAGTTTGCTGGCGGCCAGCTGTCAAAAGCAGGAGGGAGGCGAGGGTGTCTTGTACTGACACCCCCAGCTAGCTAGACTTTGAGTTTTCAGCGTTAAATAACCTTGATGTT